ACACACACACACACACACACACACACACAAGCACATACTTGCATACATTTCCAAGCACAAACATTGAAAAATGCTTTTCACTTAAAGCATTTTGTATATTTAATACTTTAAAGTTTAGAAAAAAGCATCTAGCGTTTTGCTTCATCCTCGGATTCCTCTTATTCAGTTCCAAATTAGCTGAATGATTTGCCTCCTGCTGCTTTTTAAAGGCATTTTTTCGCCACATGCATTAGTTATGAATCAAGTAATTATTTAAGTTTTCTCGCCAGTGCATTTGTCTTAGTTTTCAAACTTTGTGTTTGTTCCAGAAGTGATGCGCAAACACGGACGTCGTCGAGATGACGAATTCAGTTCAGCATCGGCTACCAAATGGAGAAAAAGTCTCATCCCCTACTTATCACAACTAAAGTTCTCATTAATTTTCAAAATTCTAAACTTTCTTCATGTGGTCTCAGTAATATTATTTGCACACATTTCGTTGAAACTTGCTTTCTTAATAACAACTTAAAAGATAGTGAGCGTGACACAGCGATAACTAATGCTCTTTTCGAGCTGAGGACTGAAAGTTCAAAATAACAGACCAACAGGATTGTACGCAGGCCATGTGTAAGGTGTTATTTTATGGTGCAAATTGCCTTTATCTTTTAGATGTAGTGGGGTGGTATTTGTCGATGCTGTGTGTGTTTCATCCCTTAGCTGTACGGGTAGGAGTGGGGATCGTCAGTACAGCCTCCTACCCGCCATGTATTGAAAGGAAGCGTAACTAATTTGCTAGAAGGATGAGTGAAAGGGAAAGATAGAGAGAGGATCACTTTCCAACACCCAATCAAGATCACTACGATCAATCGTGAAGTTTTTCCACGCAAAGTTTCTTAAGCTCACCAAGCATTACAGGAATACAAAGCCAAAGTCGCCAAAAGGTAAAGACGTGCTACGGCCTGCATTACAGCGAAGTGTATTCGAGTTGGTTGAAGATACAACACAAGTAGAAGGCAAAAGCCCAGAACAAATAGTGAGCACAGTATGATAAAGAAAATTTTAAAAAACGTATTTCAGTGGCTAAAAATGCACTTTTTTCCCTTTTTCCATAACTCTAAATTCATTAAAAGTGCATTTTTGCGAAGAATTCTGACAAATGCATCGATTTTTTGCAGCGACAGATTGATGGAATTTCTTTTTTCCTCTTCGATTAGATACTACTTCTCGTTGTCGATAGGTCTAACTCCTTTGTATAATACTTTAGTTATTTGCAAGTCATAATTACTTCTCTAGCAGTGTAGCTAGCGATTTTAACAGTTCCTTCGTCTTGACCGTTGACATTCCTAGGGAATCGATTGAGTTATCACTGATAATTTGTTAAAGTTGTGAACATTTTTTTTCATAAAGGAATCCACGACTGCTAAAAACGGTTACGTAGTAAGAATTACCACCGCACCACAATTGAATGAATAATGGATATGCAGCTGTGACTGTGAATTCGCCATTCAACTTGAACTGAATGTTAACTTTCAGATGTTTAATTTCCTGAAGCAAACTTTTTTATTTCTATTTTCAGAGATCGCCAGAGGCACCTTTAGTAGATGAGCCAGGTACAATATCCATTTTATTGGCCGACCAGCATGGATTACAGGTAATTTGAATCGTGTGATTTAATTCATAACGTACTGCATTTGAAGTAATCGTTTTCTTATTTTTTGATTGAAATTGATATTAATAAGGAGTGTAAACTTGGCCAATTTGTCATACACCCAGCTTATAATAGTACGGCGTGAAAATAGTCTGGATCGGAAAATTCTAGCGCGGCTTGGCGCAACGAGGCTCAGCCGCGAAAATGCAATGGCGGTCTTATTGGTTCGGATTAGGACTGGAAATTTGTTATTGTAAAAGATTAAAATGAGGAAGGAAGGAGAGATGATAAGAGCAATGCAAGCAACGTACTCTTTTTGGCTTACATGGGAGGCACTCAAAAGCTTGCGAAAAAGCATAAAAACAAGGAGCATTTATACTAAAGGTAAAGCACTTTGAAAAGTTATCTGTACAAGTGACATTGTTCTTACCCTGTATAATGTGAATCGTTTCAAGATTTCCCAACAAATAACAGCGACTTTGACACACAGCAGTTTTGATTGAATATCGGCGCTTTTTATCATTTTTCATGTTAATATTATAAAACGGGAGCTCATTGTGCCTCTAGCTTCATTAAATAATTTAAATTGGAAGTATGAACGATCAATCGAATATGGAAATCCCAAACTACAAAAAAGTCAAAATCCCTCTGTATTCAAATCTCCCAGAAAAAACTTCTTTTCTTTTTCTACTTCCTTTCTTTCACCCTGTTGCACATTTTTGAAACAATGACCATTTTCAAACAAAGAATTTTAAATTTTGTGACATACCCACCGACAAAATGCAGCTGGAACTAGCATTGCTGTCGTACAGAAATCGAGGTTCGGCTCCTTCAGTGGGACAACCGAACCTCCTACGATTTGTTCATTCGTTTCGGTGGTGGATTGGCACAGGCATGCGCCCGGGAGCCAAACTCGTCAGCAGTTTACTTATTTGCAACTCACGAAAGTGGGGAGCATTAACATTCTTACTAGCGGGTAGTTACTGTTGCCTCATTTGTGTCCCCTCAGATTACTTCTCGAACACCTCATCATCCCACTGTGCGTTGTGGATTTTGACGTCGACACTCCTTAGTTTTACATTTATGAACGCAGAGGGAGCAGACAGCAAAATTTCGCATTTTTTACAGGTAGAAGTGGCGGCAAGTATTGGCTTGCATCTCGTCGGCGAAGATGGTACGAGGAGAGAAATAAAGTGTAACCGGGATCGAAAAGTTTTAGTGAATGGTCGTGTTATCTATGAGGAATGAAAATCGCAAATAATCTTTGATTCAGTTTTGTCTTGAATTATAGCCTGATTCATTTTATGGTACTGCATATGTGTACGAATTTAAATCCAATCTATCAAGAGAGTAAAATTGTACTCACTGTCTAGCTATGTGGTAAACTTCGGAAGGCATAACAGTCTTTCGTTACAGTTCTTACTCTGCTGTTCTCTATGCAATCACTCTTAAACACTTTTATTGTATCTTTGTTCTTCACACTCACACTGCTTCTTATTTGGTCTTTGGCACCCAAATTAGCTGGATTTTGCTTCATTTCAATTCATATTTAAATGACCGCATTTTTATAAGCCATGGACATATCGAACAGGCGGTGGGTACTGACTAAAGTGCGCTGGCATACCCACATCGGCATATGGGAGCATCCTAGTAACATCATCAGCACGGGATACCAACACTGATAGCCCGAGTGGTCACCGTATTCGTGATATTTAAATGACCACCAGTGTAAAAATCCAGATGTTACTGAGAAGCATCCAAATGACTTGGCCAGCTACGCCAAGCACACTGATCTAGGCTGCCAGCCCTCATTTATCATCTAGCCTATTGTGGTGAACGAGTGAAGAATTAATGAACAACAATTTCTTGCAGATCGCTGAAATGTTGCTGAAATGTTAAATGGCAATCTGTCCATGGTCCTTCCTTTCAGTCATTATAATTAAACTTTGAGAAATAATATTTAGCAAATGAAAATGCAGGAAGCTTTAGAATGTCAACGATGTCTATACTTGTGCATCAAACGTTATAAATCCTGGGATTTGATTGATTCTGAGCCGATCTTTTTTTCTTGTACATCTCCGTCTCTGCGTATAATCGGAATAGGTTCTCTGTGTGTTCAATTTGTAGACTGATTTTTAATAAACAATCCTTCTTTCTTTGTTTTTTGCAAACATCTTTTTTCTTTAGACATTTTGGTACTTAAGTATCACACATTTTGAGTACAAGTACCATACATTAACAAAATCTCATTAATAAAAGTACCATACATTAAAATTACATGCAAGTACCATACATCAATAAAAATCTACCCATGACAACTGAGGCGAAATACAAAGGAACATTTGCAAAGTCTGACCTCTCATGGCTTCCAAAAGGCTCAGAAAGCGCCATGCCCACTTTTACTAAAAAATGCTTGACAGTATCTGTTGTCGATTAAATTACGCGGAAGGTAGCAGTAACATAGCCGAGAAAACGTTCAATAGGAAGACAGCAGTTTTTGTAGGAAAGTAGTTACACAGCTGTATGGAAAATAGAAAAATACATTCCAAAGTATTTAATTAAAACCTCGATAATGCAAACCTTTTGATAGCACATTCTGTTTATGAGCAAAAACGCTAAAATATCATTCGATTCCTGAAAAAGGCAATTCTGCCCAGCAGCACGCTTCCCAGCTTTTCCTTTTCTTTTTCCTCATCCTAGTTATACTACTGCTAAATGTACTGAAGAAACTGACATAGCTCTGGCAATTTACACAGGAAAATGTTAACGATGCGGTTAAAACTTGCGGTTAGTTTGTCAGCTTTCTGAAATTATCAATTATTGTAAAAACTCTGTCTTTCAGTAGCATTCTTCAGTAACGAACGTTTGTCCTTTAATGTAACACTACTACCTTGAAGTGCCCAAATTAATGCCCGAGCAATCTTGTTAATGGAATTGCTAAAAAACCTAGTTTTCTCCGCAGACGAAGCGATAATGAAACAAATTTTTTTTTTTTCAGAAACTTGAGATTTACCACGAACTTGAGATTTATCACTTGCCACAGAAAATCTATCTTCCCTCCCTCACTTTTCTACTTGAAACATAGATACATATATGTACATGTATATATAACTATATATATATATATATATATAT